ATCAAGTCCTGCAAGTAGTCCTTCATCTCTCTGTACAGTGGCTTTGGTACAGATAGATACGTTTTTGAAACTGGCTCTGTGTCTTTTAACAAAATGTCCATTTGCAGGCCTTTCACACATCCTATGTCATCATCTGTTTTTGAGAATGTTGCTGATTCCTCTCTCAGCATCTGCTGGACAGCCTTTCTTTTGTTTTCATCCAGATGAGACAGGTCAACAGGAGGGTTCCATTGCTCACTGGTGGGGGTGCATCCTGTGATGTCCTGGGCCTGAATCTTGTTGATGGCAGTCGATGGGAGGTCTTTCTTGAAGGGTTTAATGGGATAGACAGACCCCACTGACGGCACAGTACCAATGATGGTTCTCCCTGGTAGCACAATGTCATGGTTGGTGGGGTTTTGTACACTAACAGTAATCTGTGGAATAGACCCTTTTTTCACTGAAACTAATGTATCACAAAACTCTAGGCCGTCTGGACACTGTGGGTTCTCACTCGGTTCAAAAATTAGCGTAATGTCCTCTTTAACTGCTTTAGTTTGCACCCTACATTCAACAAACACTGAACTCTGGCTGGGCACAGTCACTCTCTCCTTTGTTGTCTTCACGTCATAATCATGTGTTTGTCCTACACTCACTGCTTTTATAAAGGTCGCGGCTTTGTTTTTCTTAAGATGTGGAAAAGCTAATTTAACTGCTCTCAGAAGTTTCTCTTTATCCCCTGAATTATCCCCATCTTTCATACTTTCTGAAACCAAGTGCTCAATAACATTAAACCCAATAATTGGGCACTGCTGCTGGCTACCTTTAAGCACTAGAACAGGTATGAGTAAATCATAGTCATTAGCTGTGAGTTTGAATGATATCTCGACCCACCCTACATATGGCATATCTGTGCCATTGGCTGCCTCAAGATGGAGGGGTTCATTCTGACTGATAAACTCACTCACGTTTCTCAGTGGTACATCAGGTAAGTTAGTGTTTTTCCATGACTCATCTGTTACGACCCGGCTCGACTGGTCGCAACAAAAAACTGGGGGGACACGGAAACAGGCAGTTTTTTTAAGCCTATGAAAGGCATTTATTTAACAGAGTCAAAAAATGATCTAGGCGTCGGCATCAGATGTTAACTTGGATGGTGCAATCATGACTTGTCCCTCCACACCAGGAAGTCCGGACCCCAACCTGGTCTGGTTTGAATGGTGACCAGCTCTCGGAGGACGAACCTGCTACCAGGGGCAAGGGCTCATAAATGGAACGGAGCTCCTTAAATACCACCCAGGTGGTATTTAAGCACCTCCCACTTAGAGGACCTTAATTGATACTTAATACAGCACACATACATACCGGACCACATAGCAGGGCCTTCACACCCCCGCCCATAAAAAAGCAGGTTCTATACGGAACCCTGCGCCAAATTCACCAAAGTGCAAGATAAACCCGGCCACCTTTAACATCTTGGTCTTACCCATGTTATACTCAGCCGGATTCGTTTAATGTAGCCTACAGGTTTCTTCCTCTGCTCACTCTCTAAACCAGCAACGGGTGCACTGAAAAGCGTCTTAAGGCACGTAGAAAAGAAACGGGGACAAAAACAAGCACAAAAAACAACAACATGTGCTACAATAGTGGAGCGCGAGATAACGCATCAGCTATTACGTTGTCTTTTCCTTTAATGTAATGAATATCCAGATTGTACGACTGCAGGAACAATGACCAGCGAATCAAACGCTGATTTGGACATTTCAGGGAAGACAGGAACGTCAGCGGATTATGATCTGTAAACACCACGATGTTAGCGCTACCACTTAAATAAACATCAAAATGTTTAAGGGCTAAGATTAGGGCGAACGTCTCCTTCTCGATCACAGAGTAATTCAACTGATGCTTATTAAATTTTTTAGAAAAATAACTCACCGGCCTGCCAATACCCAGATCATCAGTCTGTGTAAGGACAGCTCCAGCACCCACGTGACTGGCATCCACGTAAAGTTGGAAAGGATGTTTAAGACGTGGTGCAGCCAATACAGGGGCAGCACAGAGGAGCCTTTTCACCTGCTCAAAAGCCTGTTGACAAAGGGTAGACCACTCAAACTTTACATCTTTGCTCAGCAAGTTTGTTAGAGGCGCCACCACAGATGAGAAGTTTCGACAAAAACATCTGTAATATCCCACCAGCCCAAGAAAACGCATTAGCTCCCTCTTTGTAGCTGGAACAGGAAACCGCTCTACCGCGTGAACCTTTGCTGCAACAGGGCGGACCTCAACCTGGCCAACCACACGACCTAAATAGGTAACAGTCGCCCTTCCAAACTCGCATTTGGCCAGGTTGACCGTTAACCTCGCCCCCGCCAAACGAGTGAAAAGCTCCCGGATGCGCTCCACGTGCTCTTCCCACGTGTCAGAGTACACCACCACGTCGTCCAAGTAAACTGCACAACCAATCATGTCACCAATCACTCTGTTCATTAATCTCTGAAACGTTGCCAGCGCATTCCTCAGACCAAACGGCATTACAGTGTAAGAATACAATCCTGTAGGTGTAACAAACGCCGACACTTCACGTGAACGCTTTGTTAATGGCACCTGCCAGTAACCCTTTAAAAGGTCAAATTTACTGACAAAGTTAGCAGAACCCACCTGGTCGACACAATCATCCATTCTCGGCAACGGGAAACAATCTGGTTTTGTAACAGCATTAACCTTGCGAAAATCTGAGCAGAAACGTAGAGTGTTATCAGACTTTGGGACCAGAATACATGGCGATGCCCAACTGGACATACTTGGTTCTGCAATCCCATTTTGAAGCATATAATCTACTTCAGCATCCAAGTGCTTACGCTTCTCCAGATTCACCCTGTAAAACCGCTGCTTTATTGGTTTAGAGTCACCCACATCCACATCGTGTTCGATCAAATGTGTGCGACCAGGCGTGTCCGAAAATAGACATGGAAAATCTCTTATCAACTCTGCTAAGCGGGTAAGTGAGCCAACAACGTGTCCAATCGGCCCAAAGTTTTTAAGACGCCCATGAATCAGGGAGCTGTCCAACACATCCACATCGCCGTCATCCCCCACAGGTGACAGTGCACTGCCCGTGGTGCTGAAAGTCTCGCTCCTCCCAGCAAGATTGTTTACGGTACATGCAGGCGTGGCAACAATACACTGCGACTGAAACGGATCATCACGTGCATAATATGGTTTTAATATGTTGACATGACATAACTGGGTTTTCTTTCTCCGCTCTGGCATAGATATTAAATAATTCTGATCGGAAACCCGCTCCAGAACTGTATATGGACCAGTGAATTTGGCCTGAAAAGGAGAAGTAATGATTGGACACAAAGCCAACACTTGATCACCAGGCAGAAATGTGCGCACCTCCGCACGCCGATCAAACAAGCTTTTCATTTTTGTCTGTGCCACAGTCAACTTCCCTTTAACGAGTTCCCGTGCCAGATACAAGCGTCTTCTAAAACCATTAACATAATCTACCAAATTTTTCGGTGGCACAGGCTCTTTCAGCCCGTCCGCCACCACAGCCAATGGACCCTTCACGGTGTGCGCAAAAACCAATTCATTTGGGCTAAACCCGGTGCTTTCCTGGGTTACCTCCCTGGCGGCCAACATCAGCCAAGGCAATCCTTCCTCCCAGTCACCCGCCAGTTCAGTACAATAAGCGCGCAGGAGAGACTTCAGAGTCTGGTGGAAGCGCTCTAACGCCCCCTGACTCTCTGGATGATACGCTGTCGCTTTAATGTGTCACACCCGTAGCTGTTTCAGAACCTGACTGAACAAATGTGATGAAAAGTTAGTGCCTTGGTCAGACAAACACCGAGAAGAACTGAGTGAGTGCACGTACCACCGACCTAGCTGTCATTGTACGTAACGAATAAGCTGCTGGGTAACGTGTGGTTTGACACATCACCGTGAGCAGATATAATGACCCAGCCTTTGAGCGGGGTAACGGGCCCACGCAGTCGATTATTAAATGCTCAAATGGCTCAGATGCGGCAATAATCGGGCTCAAAGGGAATGGTTTCAAAACCTGATTAGGCTTGGAAATAACCTGGCAGACATGACACATTTTAACATAAGATGTAACGTCTTTTTTCAGACGGGGCCAGAAAAAATGTCTCAAAACGCGGTCATACGTTTTACGTACACCAGAATGGCCAGACTCGTCATGAGCAACTTTTAAAACTGCGGAGCGAAGTTTAATGGGAACCACTATTTGAAATCCCGGTTCCCCCACAATGTCAACATGTGGAAACCATTTCCTCACCAACAACGAGTCCTGCAGGAAGTATCCACATGCACAGTCCGTTATTTCACTGAACGGGCGAACCTGATCGAAAAGATTCTTCAAAGAAACATCGGCTTGCTGCTCCACGACAAACTCACTGCGGGATAGAGAGATTGGAAAATTAGACAAAGGCAGTTTGATTTTCCTTGCACATTTATCCTCTTTCTCGTTCTGAGCGCGCGCCATAGCCCTAGTAACCGCGCAGGCGGTAAATACATCTGCGAATTCACCATTATTCCCAGTCTGAGAAATGACTCGCTCTATGGGGTCCGATGTAACCAGTCCACTTAACGGCACAGTGTCCGCCCATAAACGTGTTCCAGCTAAACCGTTTCCCAAAATCACAGAAACGCCGTCAATTGGCAAAGCAGGGCGCAAAGCCAATTGTGTGACACCAGTAAACAGTTCGCACTCTAGAAACACTTTATTTAATGGAACAAACATTACATTTAATCCCATTCCCCGAATCGGGACACAGGCATCTGTCTCAGACTCAGCCGAAAACGGCAACACGTCAGCTCTAATGAAAGAGTCAAACGCTCCAGTGTCTCTCAGGATCTTAACTCGAACCTTTTCCTCGCCGTTTGGCAGCGACACAAAACCCTCACGAATGAAAGGCAGATACGAGACACCCACTTCAGAAGATCGAACTTCCTGGTTTGGCTGCACCGGTGCAGCCAAACCTACTCCTTTAGGAGCAGTTTGAAACTTTTCCGTTTCAAACTTCAGCCGATGACAATCTGCTTTAATATGTCCGCGTCTATGACAGAAATGACAAACCCGCTCATCCTTGTGAACCAGCGGATTTTTAAACTGTCTCGCCTCCAGTTGATTAGCGACACCAACCCGATCACTGTGGCTCACATTTTGACCAAAATGCTGTTTAAAACCCACGGGACTCGAATAATCCTTATGAGTCAGCACGTACTCATCCGCCAACACTGTAGCCTCTAACACGCTCTTAGCTTTCTGCTCATTAATGTAGGTTGCAATATTTACCGGTAAGCAATTTTTAAATTCCTCCAACAAAATCAGGTCACGGAGCTGATTGAAGTTTCTAACATCCTGCGCAGCGCACCACCGATCGAATAAAGCAGTTTTAACACGACCTAATTCAGTGTAACTTTGATTATAGGCTTTTTTATAGCGGCAAAATCTTTGTCTATATTAGGGCTGCAACTAACGACTATTTTAATAGTCGACTAGTCACCGACTATTGAAACGATTAGTCGACTAATCGAATAGTTATTCACTTTTTCTTAAAAATAGCATAAAGTTGCTTTAGTTAAGTGGAAAATGATAAACACAAGAAAAATGGGTACTTCAATGAAAAATGCATCTTTTATTCAACTTTGCAGCTGATACAAAACGTAAATAAGAATGTCCTATCTGAAACCAATTGAATCCATAAATAAATAAACCTCTGTCCATTTTTTGAGGTGTTTTATAAAAAATAAATAACTAATTCAAATCAAGTAAACATTTTTTCCTGTAAACCAAGCAGCAGAAAAACTAAATATAAATAAAACAAAGTGCATTCTGTGAGGTACATTCAGTGGTCAACTGCACAGTCTGTTGCAAAACAACTCAAGTAAGTGTTCAGAGTTGTCCAAATTGAAGTTGTAAGCATGGACGGCGATACAACCTGGACACAAACCTGTCATGATGGACAGACCAGGTTTAAAATCAACATGAGGCTCAGGGTATGTCATTCAGTTTATTCATACAAAGAAAAGTCAGCATATCCACATGCTCTCGTGTGAGGCTTGCTCTCTTCTGGGAGCAGATATTTCCTGCTGCTGAGAAGATTTGCTCTGCCGGTGTGGATGTTGCAGGAATGCAGAGAAGAGATCTTGCTACGTTTGACAGAGTGGGAAAACGCCCCTCATTTTCTCTCCACCAGCTGAGAGGGTCATCCTTTTTGGCTATTGGTGGCTCTGTGAAGAACATCTGAACTTCCCTCCTCACCATTTGGATCTTTTTATCCTCCTGGGTTTCTTCCTCTTCCTCACTCAGACTGTCAGTGTCAGACTGAAGCAGGTTATCAAGAGCTGACTTCCCCCCTGGGACATTACCCCTCTTCTGCTGTACCTCAAGGTCACCATGTATCCCAGTCTCGGCCTTTGCTTCTTTTATGGCAAGAACTTCAATTGTACTTTGCACCATTGTGCCATCTTCAGGTGAGATGAACTTCATCTTTCTGAATCTTGGATCAATGGCAGCTGCAAGAACAAGTGGGTTGTCTCTCTCTGCAGACACATTGTTAAGATTAGCCCATCTCTCACTTATTCCTTTTCCTGCAATGGCTCGAAAGGCTTCTCCTGAGCTCGACTCAAACTGGGTTTTCTGTATGGACCTTTGAAGCCCTTTGACTAGCTGTGGAAGACATGAAGCAGTAGCATACTCCTGTCCACTGAGGAAAGTGGTAGCACATTCAAAAGGACCCAACCCTTGCACCAGTTCTTCAAGTAGCACCCATTGCTCTGGTTTCAGGTCAAAGTAGTGCTTGGCTCTTGGTGTTACCTCAGGGTCAGAGAGAGTTGCAGTAACTGGCCAGCGCTGCTCCAGGAGTCTCTCCACCATGTAATAAGTACTATTCCATCGTGTGCTGACGTCCTGGATCAGCTTGTGCTCTGCGGTGTTCATTTGCTGCTGCTTCGTCTTCAGTTTTGAATTTGCCAGCTCACTTCTCCTAAAGTGCTCCACTAAGCTTTTTGCAGCACCAGTAGCTTTGTTGATGCTGGGCTCTTTGAGGGCACTGTTGACGATAAGTTGGAGGGTGTGCCCAGCACAGCGGACTGAAGACCAACCGTGTTTTTCTTCCAGGAGTCGAGCCGCCGCCACCATGTTAGACCCGTTGTCGTGTACTATTGCTTTAATTTGGCTAGGTAAGATGTCAAATTTGTCTATCACCTCTTCCATCCATATCATGATGTTTGCAGCAGTATGCCTCTCCTCCAGAGGTAGAGTAGCAAGGTTCAAAGTCTTCATTTGCCACTCTTTGGTGATGAAGTGACACGAAACTCCAAGATATGCCTCTGTGGCACGGCTGGTCCAAACATCACATGTCAGCGTGAGGGAGCTGTTGACCTCTTTTAGGATCTCCTTTACCTTTAAACACAAAAGTAGACTTTTGTAAATATTTAAAGTGCAAAAACCTACATGTCAACAGAAACTATTCAACATGCAAGTTTGAAAGTTTTAATAATTGCTCAATGATTTGACCCAAATTAAGTTATGTATTTAAGCCATTTTAACATAATAATAAAATAACAGCTATTTATTTATTGATATATATTCAGACGTGTGTGTGTGCGCGCGCGTGTGTGTGTATTTTAAACAGTTACCTTCAGAAACGTTGTACTGTATTTCTGCTCCATCAAGTGGGTGAAATGGGTTCTGGATAGTAGTATGTAGTCTGGGTTGAACTGGGCTATCATCCGTTGAAACCCGGCACCATCGACCACAGAGAGCGGCCTCATATCATGGATCAGCATCTGTAATACTGACTCAGTGAGGGCAGCCGCCTGTTGCGGGGTGCACATCTGCTTCTTTTGTAGAAAGGAGTCCATGGTGGCTCTCTTCTTCGGACTGCATGCATTTAATTTAGAATAAGTTTGTCAGGCACAGTCAGGCATAACGTTAAAGCTCTCTTTTAAAGTGAAAAAAACGCTTAGAAAATGTATAACGTACATAAAAGACAAAACATATTAGCGTTATTGTTGCTTAAATCTTACCGAGGCGAGTCAGACTCCGTTTCATTTAAGTGCCCAACATGCTTTCTTTTTAAATGCTCATGCATCACCGAGGTGCTGCCGTGATACGCAAGGTCTGTTTTGCAAACCTTGCACGTAATTTTTTTACTAGTTGTATTAAGGATAAAATGCTCCCAAACTTTCAACGTTTTTGTACGCGTGTTGGACGCCGCCATTTCTGTAACCGCGACGCTGTTATGCAGGTGACTCTGGGCAGATTGTAATTAAGTGAGATGTCTCACTCTGTTGGAAAAACACGTCTGGCGACAATAGTCGACAATGGAATTTATTGTCGACTTTTTCTATTATCGATTTTTGTCGACAACGTCGACGAATCGTTGCAGCCCTAGTGGACAATGATCAGTAGTTGATTAAACTGTTGAACCAAACCATAACACTGAAATGACAAATAAACTACGAGGTGATTTCACAAAAACTGTTTTATTCATAAACGTTCTTTGTACCGGTTCACAATATGGCTCCAAGGAAGAATGCGTCTGAGGATATGGAGGAACTAAGAAGAGCGATTGAATTCCTAACCGAGGAAGTTTCCTCGGTCAAAACGCAGCAAAAAGGAATATTGAGCTTAGTGGAGGAGATCAAGGCACTTCGTATTCAAAATGCAGAAAAGGACAAGAAAATCGAGCGACTACAAAGTCGGGTTGCAGAGCTGGAGCAACACGCGAGGTTAAACGAGGTAATTATCACAGGCCTCAGGGTGAAACCTCGTTCGTATGCTCGCGCTGTCACTGCAGACGAAGGAGAAACGAATATGGAGATGCAAGCGTCCACGGAGCAACAAGTTACTTCCTTTTTCCAATCTAAAGGAATTGAGCTGGACAATGGGAGTATCGAGGCTTGTTTTCCAATCACGAAGAGAAATGCCGGTGATAGGCAAGCCATCCTGATACGTTTTTGCAACAGAAAACACAAGGCGGCACTGTTGAAAGAGGGGAGGAAATTGAAAGGAACCGATGTTTATGTAAATGAACATCTGACCAAGGAAAATGCGGAAATAGCCAAACAAGCGAGATTCCTTAAAAAACTGAAGAAAATACAACAAACGTGGACTGTAAACGGAAAGATATTCATCAAGTTAAATGGGGCTCCGGAAGAGGCAAAAGTTGTTCAAGTAAGGAGTATGGAGGAGTTGAGAAAGTTTGAATGAGGAACGTCTTGGGAGCTACCGTAAGGTAACGCAAAGACTACACCTACATGACAAGCATAAAAGAAGATTTGGCGGAGGCCAGTATGTCACACCTTCATAATTTACAGGACATTACGGAGTTAGGCCTACACCAATTTCAATACACTGAGCATACCCAACTAGATATGGAACAGGATATAGATCCCGACAACAACTTCTACACTCACATCAACAGTGACTGTCGTTACTACACCGACAAACAATACAATCAAATAAAGCAGGATGGGAAATTATCAGTACTACACATTAACAGCAGAAGCCTGTATACAAACTTTGTAAACATAAAGGACTATGTGTGTCAAGCTGTACATCCCTTTGATGTCATAGCAATAACAGAAACGTGGATAAACAACGAAAGGGGGGCGGATTTTGGGATGGAAGGATATGAGTTTGTGCATCTGAATCGAAACAATAAGACTGGTGGAGGTGTGGGATTTTTTGTGAAAAATGAGTTGAATGCTAAGATTGTTGACAAAATGACGGTATGTGTGGATGACTTACTGGAATGCGTCACAATTGAAATTGGTTTAGAAAAAATGAAGAATGTTGTTATCAGTTGTGTTTACAGAGCACCGGGAGGAAATGTTGAATTATTTACTGAATGGTTTGGGAACTTCTTTAATAAGATACAGACGCTTTTATTCATCTGTGGAGATTTCAATATTAATCTCATGAATACAGGACATAGAAAGACGGAACAGTTCATAAATACAGTCTACAGTATGGGTCTATATCCAACCATTACCAGACCAACAAGAATAACTTCTCACAGTGCCAAGTTGATTGACAACATATTTACAAACTACATGGAAAATAGCACAGAAAGTGGTATATTAATTACAGACATATCTGACCATTTACCAATTTTTTCATTATTTAATTGCAATTATAGAAGAAAGAAGCTTGCAATTAATGGGTTTAGATATAAAAGAATTAAAACAGAGGGAGCCATGATGGCTTTAAAACAGGATTTATTACATCAAAACTGGGAGCCTGTGTATATCGAAGAAAATGTAAATGCAGCCTATGAGAAATTTATGGATATGTTTAATATGTCGTACAATAAGCACTGCCCAGTAAAGAAATTTAAAGAAAGCATAAAACAGATAAATACTCCATGGGTGACTGAGGGGTTGAGGAGGGCGTGTATGAAGAAGAACTCATTGTATAGACATTTTCTTAAAAAAAGGACAGTGGAAGCAGAAGCAAAATACAAGAGGTACAAAAATAAATTAACTAATATATTGAGGTCTTGTAAGAGGGAATACTACAATAAATTGTTGGAAGGAAATAAAAACAATATTAAAGGTATATGGACTATCTTAAACAGCATTGTGAGAAAGGAGTCAAAGGGAACAAAATTACCGGAATATTTTACTGAAAAGGACAAAATTATAAAGGATATGACTGACGTTGCAAATGGTTTTAATAGGTTCTTTGTCAATGTTGGACCTGAGCTTGCGTCAAAAATATCAGAGACAAATACATCTGTCTGCGAAGACATGGGGGAAAGGAACCCATACACAATCTTTCTGGGTGCAGTGACTGAGACTGATGTTAGAGAAATAATACAAAACTGCAAAAATAAAACCTCTGCTGACTGGATGGAAATAGATATGAAGACTGTTAAGATTGTTATGGAAGAAATTATTAAACCACTAACCTACATTTGTAACCTGTCCTTTCAAACAGGTACATTTCCAGACAAAATGAAAATAGCCAAAGTTATTCCACTGTTCAAAACCGGAAACAGACACCATTTTACAAACTATAGGCCAGTTTCTTTACTCCCTCAATTTTCCAAAATAATTGAAAAACTATTTACCACTAAACTAGATATCTTTATGGAAAAACACAACATATACACTGACAATCAATATGGATTCAGGTCAAACAGATCAACATCCCAGGCACTACTACAACTCATGGAGGAAATCACAGATTGCTTTGACGATAAAAAAGTGGCAGTTGGGGTTTTTATTGATTTAAAAAAGGCTTTTGATACTATTGACCACAACATATTGCTGACCAAACTAGAAAGGTATGGGATAAGGGGAGTTGGGTTGGATTGGATAAGAAGCTACTTAGGAAATAGACAGCAATTTGTTCAAATAGGGGAACATAAATCAGAGCTCTTGGAAATTACATGTGGAGTACCACAGGGTTCAGTGCTGGGCCCCAAATTATTTATCATTTATATAAATGACATCTGTAAAGTTTCAAGGGCACTGTCATTGATTTTATTTGCAGATGACACAAATGTATTTTGTTCGGGCGAAAGTTTACCGCAGATCTTGGAGCTAATTACAACA